AATTTTAACATAAATAGCCAACTTACTTGCACTCTATTTCTCCTAAATGATTTCGACGCCATAGTGAAGTTGTGCGCGTCTTACAGGTCGTACATACGGAGTTTACGTGGCAAGGCACGGCCTAAAAATAATACAGTATTCCAAAAATGAACTCTGTTGTTACACTGACAGCGCTCACCGGCATCCGTTTCTTCTTTTGTTGGAGCAGTTTTCTAATCGTAGGGGTTGGGTCAGGGCTTCGCGAAGAATTTGGTCTCGAGGAACAGGCACGGGCTGGTGCCGATTGTGAACCCATAGGAAATATGGTGGGTGGTGTGTCTGGCGGAGTTGTGAAGAAATATTGAACCGAGTACGGTTCGAAATTCTGAAAAAAATCAATTGTTCGAATTTTTCTGAGGATTGATGGAAGCTGGAAAATTTACCTGGAATTTTGTAGAATTCGCAGCGACTGATGAGGGTTCGGCTGTGGCATAAGTGCCATCAAAGCTGTTCAGCACCGGGAGTTGTGTAGCTAATGAAAAATCCTCGAATCGTCCATCCACACCATTGGGTGGAGGTTCCGGACTTGAATGTGGTGTTTGTATTGTCGGACTGTAAAAAAGATTTTATTTTTCCCACACCGGCGGTTTACTTAGGTAAAAATCGCCTGTTTTTACCTTGGCTCATAGTAGACGTTGCCAAAAGGCTGCTGTGCCTGTGCCATTCCATAGCCATTTTCATAGCTTCCTTGAAGAGTCATCGACGATGGCGGAACGTAAAATGCTGATTGATCTAAAATGAAACTTCTTTGATTCGCTCATCGTGGCATTCCAGATTTTTACTTGAACGCTAAAAATCGCGTCAGGGCAAGTATGAACGTTTCCGAGTCAGTAATTTTTTCATTAGGATGCTATGCTTGAAGAATGCTTACCGAAAAAATCGGGACTTTCCTGTAAGGTTTGCATAAACGAGCCCATCTCTTCCACTTGGTTGGCGTAGCTTTCTGAAATGAGGGGTAGCGAGTGATGTATTCCATACTTGTACGCTTTGTTATATATTAATTCAATGTT